TATCTTCCCCCGGCAACCCCTTTTCTACCTGCCTAGTGGGACTTCCTTTAGATAATTGGGACTTGGGACTGCCTAATCCTTTCAAGGAAGCCTGCGGGAGGGGGGCAAAGTACTACTAACAATTGGGATGGATACCTACCACATCTTAATCACTTGCCAATAGAGCCTCAGGAACTCGAACTGTTAGGGTCCACAAAAATGGATTGGTGTTTGTATTTCAATTATTCAGGAACCAATGTTTCCCGTGCCTGGTCAGTTACCATGGAAATTTCAGCATATCTAAGTGTAGAATTGCCCAGGGGTGTCTCTCTAATATGTGGAGACAGGGCCTGGCCTGGCATTCCCTCTCGTATTAAGGATGGGCCATGTTCATTGAAGAAGACTAACACTACTAACACCAAATGCATAACGCAACCTCTGAAGCACTAACAGGGTTACTAATAGATGTAGATTCTATACAGCATGCTACTTCGCAAAATAGAACGGCAATAGATTTTCTGCTTTTAGCGCAAGGACATGGATGTGACTATGCTTGATGATATTCTTTTGCATTCTGGTTTGCGTGCCATGTTTGTTACAGGGTATACAAAAAAAGATTGAAAGATCGGTTTCAGCAGTGTTTCTAGTAAAACAAAAGGGGGGAGATGTGGGGATAGGATTTTTAACTATGGACATTACTGAATTCGGTTTTAATGAGCAGGTACTGTACCCGTGAGAAAGCACGCAGGCAGAAGATAAGGAAGAAAGGAATGAGCTGCTGGAAAGGAGTAAACAAGATAAGGACCATGAAGTCATGCTGTATGGTCAGGAAGAGCAGACCTATCCGCTGGAGCATAGATGTGCGTGAACACAAGGCTGTAACCTATCTGCAGGCTGCGGATAGCGTGTGGACACTTCTGCTTGCTATAAATTACCCTAATATAGAGCAATAAAGGTCTTTGGTTGCTGCTTGCCAGAGTCCGTGCCGTTAATCCCCGCAGGTAATACTGCTTTACTACCTTATAAATTACTTGAGGACCTTTAAATAAATAGTGACGCTTCCAAGAGTTTGCTGAGGATAGCCCACACCTGAAGGGAGAGGCTGAAAGTCCAGCACTCAACCTCCATAAAGAGCTTCTCAGACTGAGGTGACAGTGTTAGCAGTGGATACCCTGACTGAGAACGGCTTTCCACAAGCTGGAAGCAGGGGCCTGCTGGAGGAGGTAAGTGCTAATGATTATGTTGTCCTTGCCCTCAATCACTACATTCAAGAATGGTCTGGAACTGTCACGATGAGGCCATCAGTGTTTTACAAGCTTTGAGGAGAAAGTCCTACTGGTAGAAGATACCTGTTTTGCTGTTTTAGCTAGTTAATTGATTAACAAGCCTATTGAATATTTGGTATAACTGCGTGTTACAGCTGGAGTTGCAGTGCTGTGATCCCCTTTGGCAGCCCTTAACAACGTCTAGTCTGAGCTATTGGTGCTGAGAAAGAAACACGTATTGCTATGGTTGAATGTATTTACCACGCAGATCTTTTTATCACCCTCTGCCAAAAACAACACTTCAGTCTTGTTTTTTAACTCCACTCATAGGTATCCAAGGACAAACTCTTCCTGTTTTAGTCAAGTGCTCAGAGGTGTAGGATAGCAGTAGTGAGAGCTACCTATGTAACAACTCTAAGAAAACTGGCTGAAACGGCAAGTGTTTAACTGTTACAGTCAGTGCAACGGTTGTGTGTGCATTGCAAAAGTCGGACTTATTCAGCCATGCAAAAACACTCTTCTGCTTACTAGAGGAGGGCTGAAGAAGCCCTGCACCAGCCATTTTTAATTGGGTGGGCTGGTTTCATTGTCAAGAAAGTTCTTTCTGGTACCAGTTAGCACCTTCCCCCCACTGAGATTCTTCAACTGCACCAAAAAAAAAGTCTGTAAAACACACCTAGGAATGATCTGGTTTTAATAGACTGAGCAACTAATTTTTTAGGCACCCTGTTGGTGAAAGCGAGGGGAAGCCCAAAAGCATTGCTGGAGAGAATCTCTTTGAACTGAGAAATGACAGAACTGAAGAGTGAATGCGTTTCATCAGTAAGACAAAAAATGCCTCTGCGGAGAGTGGAGAGGCACCAGAACTTTTAGCTAGATCAGATTTGGTTATATTGAATAACTTTTCTGGGAAATTACCTTGCCGCTTACCCCTGTCAATCATCTCTTCGGTCACAAACACCACAGCCCTGGCAATGCTGTTGCAGTCAGCCAAGTTCAGGTTCACTGTCTCCAGTGAGAGTGAGGAGCAGGACCGTAGCTCTTGGCCTCCGTTTTCTGTGGCACATGCAGCAATGACACAAAATCCCCTTTTGCCAAGCCATTTAGCCAGTGAGTTTCCAAGTCCGGTGTCACAGCCTGTTACGAAGACATGCTTTCCACCCAGGTTTCTCACTCTGTGACTGTCTCTGATGAGCCAGTAAATGGTAAGAGAAAGTATGGAAGCCAAAATTGCTATATGTGTAATGAGTCTGAAAGTGAGAGCTATAAGCAAATAAGTTAATGATCTAGAAATGCAATGAAGCAAATGTGCTCAGTCAACCCCCCGACTTCCTCAGACACAATTCCCGTAAGGGGCTTTGTTTCTGGTTGCAGCCCTTCCAGCTCACTGTAAGTTAGGGGAGAGCAGGGGTGGAAGCTTTGGCACAATGTGCTCAGGATCCATGAATAATACGTGCCTTGGCAAAACCTTCCCTATCCTCCTTTTCAATAGATTTCCACTGTTTTCAAGCTCTGCTGACCAATCTTTCTAGTCAGCCCTGTCTTTTCAGGAACTTTCAGAGTGAAAGGAATGACTGCGTTAGTTCTCGCAGTACCATCTGCGTTTTTTTGTGGACATTAGTGATTATTTGTGCTAATACTGGAGAAAGGAATTCCTCCGGGAAGAAGGATGATTCTCTTTGACCGTCTGTATGATGCCACTGAGGCTGTCCTTCTAATCTGCACCAAGGAAGCAGAGTGACCCCAAGAACATCCACAAAAGCCTAAGCTGTAGTGGTGGGTCTGATGACCTATTTGTTGTGTGACTCGTGTTGCGTGATGGTGAGTGATCTGCTCTCTACCCCTTAGACAAGGTGGACTTTGGGGCAGTGCCTGAGTCTTCTGCCTCCTTCCTCATTGCCTGTTTAGCACTGAAAGAATGTATTATATAGGAAGTTTGTATAAAGAAATGGGGAAATGCATGGAGATGTTGCCCTCAAAAAAAAAAAAAAAAAAAGAAGCACTGAGGGAACACAAGTTTTCCTAACTCTGGTGGGGAGGATACCGTTTGCTTATTACAAAAATTTTTGATAAACGTAGAATACCGTTCTTGCCATCTAAAATCTTGATGAATGATTACTATTTTTCTATTTGTATTTTTGGTTTGTGCAAGAATTAAACCAAAATAATTCATTAAAACCAATATTTATGGGAAGGCTGGTAAGCATTTTCTACACATCCTGCTAAAGAGAAACTTTTTTACAGGTGCTAAGCAGTCACCTAGGCTCTAGTTACCTACATATGTGTAGAGGTGCAGACATCTGACCTTTAAAACATGATTGTATTCAAAGAATGAAGTGATACTTTAAAAAAAAAAGGAATTTGTGATTATTTTTACATCCCAAAAGTACTCAAAGAGGAAGTGGTCTTTCTTCTCTAACTCATAGCTGTCTGAATAATGACCAGTGACAACATTCATTGCCACTTAATGATCTTGTTACATAGTCGGGTGCCTCAGTAGCCATCAGTATGGACTTCTGAGCTACTGGTTAATGCTCTCTAATTTTAAAATGTTAAGCAAATATATACAGATAAGAGTTTGCTTCTCCTTCCACTGCAATCTACAGGGAGGCTTCCACTGAATTTTTGGGGTGTTAGATTGGTCCCTGGGCTGCACTGGTTATTTTAGCAGCCCATCTCACTGTTGTTTTGAGGCTAACATAATCGGCCCTCTAGTTCAGGTACTTCACTTAGATACTTGGCTTTTTTGCTGTGAATGTCCCTGTTAAGTCTGACAAGGACTGCAGTGTTCCTGAATGTGTGCACTTTGGAATCATCTTTGTAATGTTTCACTGAGTTGGTGACATTTATTTTCTGAGAGGACTCACAGAGTGTGCTCTGACAAAGTGCCATTAAAACTGTGTGAAAGAGCTCAGGCTAATTCAGGCTTCTGTGCTGTAAAATAAGGGCTGAAAACAGGATGTTGCAGCAGCCGATCATAGATACTCCCAGTCAATTTGCAACGATGTGCCAGGCAATGACATTTCCTTTAACTGCGGATTTAGAATTTGGAGCTGAGCTAGACACAAAGAGAGAGAGGAGTTGCTACCAGCAGGCTCTTGTAACCCCACGCCAATAAATCTCAGCAAGCTAGTGCTGTGATATATAATTCTAGGACTCAATTCACCTTTTTCCCAATACAAAATTTAATTAAATAATTAGAGATTTGGGGAAAAGATTAGCCTAATTGGAAACAGGAGCTGTAAATCACACCTTCCTTCCTTGGCTGTGTTGTAGGGAGGAAGCAGCAGGCAGTGAGTTTGCATTACTGGAAAGCAGGTTAAATTTGAAACTGGGGTCTGTGGAGAAGCCCTGAAGCATCTGGCCTGTAAGAGAAACACCTGGGACTTCTCTGGTTAGTGTTAGACCCTGTGTTTAGGTAGCAATAATTGGCACAGAAGTGCTGTAAGACAAGGGGCTCTAGGGGCGACAGCTGAGAGGGCAGCGCTGTGTGGAGCCTCCACTGTTCCTCTCTCCCCTATCAGCCCTGGGCCAGTGTTCCTAAGCCTGTAATTCCTAACTGCCTAGCTCTCCCCAAGTACCAGCTCCTTCTCTAATAACACATGGACATTCAGTGCTGAGCACCATGGCAGGTTTTGCTCTGCTGGAGCCTTCTGCCAGTATTTATTCTGCTAGATGATGTCATTGCTGCTGGAAGGAGTCTGTGGTCAGAATCAAAGGTTATAGTCTCCGTTGAAGTCTTCTTCCAAGAAAATTGTCTAGTTCTGTGAATGTACAACGTTATGCAAAATATTTCTTGTTTGATAATTGTGGAGCACTAAAAAAGCCATTTGTCTTCCAGGGGCATATCGATTTTGAAATAGTTGCCTGGTGTGGCAAAGAATGTGTTTCCAGAGAAAATGTCAGCATGATATTTCAAGAGTATTGATATATCTTCATAAATATTGAATTCTGATTACTAATGTAGCCAGTAAATAGCTAAAGGCAAATTCTACTTCCCATTAAAACTTTGATATTTGCCTGGCAAATTGAGAACTCTTGGGATAGAGCTTGGCTTCTTATGCCTAGACAAGTGCCATTATAAAAGCAATTGATTTTAGAGAAAAGCAGCATGACTACACCAAGAGCCCTTTAAGATCCTTCAATGACTGCAAAATACGGCATCCCTCTGCTTCTCTGCACTAAAGGAAACTGAAGCATGTAGACCGTATTGAACGGGGGTGTTACTGTCTTACTCCCACAGCAAGTTTGCTTTGGTAGTTGTGCCAAAGAACTTCAGGTTGGGGTGAGGTTTGGGGTCTGGGTGTGCTTTGGATTCCTTCATCTGCCACTGTGCTGGCAGTGCAAACCTTCCGGAGTTAGTGCTCTGCAATGGGTTAGAGGGATCTGCCAGGCATGCTGAGGAAGAACTGCCAAGCGGAAATTTAGGAACTGGGGTTCTTCAGAAACAGCACTCATGTAGCACTCAGTGGAAAGTTTAGATGTATCAGACAATGCTCTGACAGATCACCCAACAGCTCTCCAGAATCTAGAAAGTACAAACTTTAATAATCGGTCATCCTGCCAGAGCTACAAACCCCCTGGTCTTCAGTTAACAAATTGAACAAATATGCAGGCACGAACACATCACATCTTCCACTTTTAGGTGAGCTATTCCTGCACGTGCAGGGCTTTGTACTTTTGTTTCACAGAAAAGGAGTGCTTTTTCATATGCTGTGTAAAAATGTCAGTGTGATAATTCAGTTTGGTGGTCAACAGATAACTTAAGATCTTCATTAATATGTCACCTTAAAAGAAATACATGTCCAAACTCTCCTACCCAGCATTTTGCAGGGAGATGAATGTAGTCTGGTGCAATGGGGGCTGATTTCTTGGCATGATTGTATCTTTCTTTGTATGGCTTGCACTTCTGATTTTTACCACAGCATCGGTAAAGACCCAGGAAAATAAAACCCTGTAAACTCTTAGGTGACTGATACAGTAATTAAAAATAAAGGAGTAGAGAAAGATTCCAGATGTTGGGAAGAACATTTCTGAGTTAGCATTTTATTCACACCCTGTAGGTGCTTAGACAAGCAACAATTGTTAAAATCACTCTAGAAAGGAAGGGACTGCATGTTGTCTCGTCTGTGCATTCAAAAACAAGTCCTTAATTTGTTCTCTTAGCTATTCTGCAAATGCATGTAATGGGTACTGCTCACTAGAACGACAGACACAAGTTCTGTTTCTGTGTCGGCCTCCCATTCTGGGGAGACATCTGCAAGCTGAGTGTATACCTCCAGGTGCTCACAAGTTGCCTTCACCAGTTATTTCCAGTGTCAGAACATAGAAACTGCTCAAGTCAAACTCATAAGCTTGTGCACCAAGACCCGCATGGTGAGAGTTTCCAGAAAAATCTCCCTGTAAATTCTGTGTCCGGCAGTGCTTTCTGATTGCTGTACGTTGGCTGACAAGCACAGCCCCTCTCCCTGCTGTTGATAATGACTTGCGCTGTGATGCTTCTACCTTAGGGACTTACTTGGTATTAATCTTCTGTATATGCTCTATGCCTGCCTATCCTACCTATGTTGTATAAGCACTGCTGTCTATATACAGTAATCTACAGAGCCTGGGGAACTTTCAAGACTCATTAGGGAGAACTAATCTACTCAGCTGGGAAGGACTGATCCGTGCTTTGTCTTGAAACCAGCAGGAGTCTTTCCATTGATTTAACAGGGCTTGGTTCAGACTTCAACCTTTTCTCCTACATGTGAGCGAGTTGTTATTGATATGACTTAAACTTTTAAGGTACAGCCTTGTGTGTGAAAACGTTCAGGGATGAAATTATTTTTTCTAGTCTAGGGGCAGCTTTTTGCTACCAGAAACAAATAAATTGCCTGAGTAACTAAGCAATGCTTTTCAAATAAACGCTCAAATTCTACAAACTGTGTAAACAGAAGCTCTACAGTTTGTATGGGAAAGGACTCTAACATATGACTGCTAGGCTGCTTGTTTGTTTGCTACCTGTCCCAGAGTCTGCTGGCTACTTCTGATCCAGCTCTGAGTGTTATTGCGTAAATGCGTAAGCAGAACGCCTTTTCCCCACTCTTCACGCCTCCCCATTCACAGCGCCATGCAGTGCCTGTTTGCTGCAGGAAGTGAGGAGGCTTGAGCAGACCTTTCTCAACAGCAGAATGAATGAATAAGCTTTTCATGAAAACTGATTTGAAACTAACTGAATGAGAAGAAAATTAAAACTGGGGAAACCAAGCAAAGTGATAGGATGGAGCTGGAAGTCATCTGGCCCCGTTCAGTTGAGCGGACCATGGCAATGGCAGCCCATCCCAGACTGGCTGGTGAGCCCTGTCCGGCTGCTCCCTGCCAGGAGCTGCAGAGTTGGTAGTTCATCCTCTGCTTGTTGGGCAGCTCTTCCCCATCCAGTTTCTCTCCCTGCTCATTTTGGCTTGGGCCTGGAAATTCTTGCTCCTTTTGCCACTCCGCCACACCAGCCTCAGCTGTGGTGTTGGTTGTTACTGCGCTTTCAGCACTTGGGGCAGTCAGGAGATGTGTGCAGCTTGCTGGAGACTTGGGGATTCAACAGGTGGCTGGCAGAGGTTTCCTCTCCAGCACAAGCCTGGCAGACGTGCCTGCTAGGCCTGCCTAGTCCTGTCTGGCCTGATTCAAACAACAGGCTCTACAGCGTGATTGAAATGACCACAAAACAGCACTCCACCAGCAGGCAAAGCCCGTCACAGGGGAACATTTCTCCAGCAGTGTTAGGTCAGGAGTCCTGCTATTGTAGGTAGCAATCCTTTGCCACACAAATGTAGGAGAGAAAAACATCAAAGGAGTGTCTCTTTCTCTACTGCTGTTTTTTTCCTCAGCAAACTGCTTTTGAACTGTAGAAAACAATTTCAGAAAGCTGAATAGATCCTGCTTAGCATCTCAGAAAACATCGAAATAGGGAATTTTTCCAATAAGCTCCCTTTCTCACAGAGGATCCTCCAACTTGCTCAGAGCACAGCATGCGAGGGAGCTTAACAGAAGAGAAACCACATAAGCAAAATGTGAGCTCCGTACGTAGCTTTCCGTTAGAGAGCTTGGCATGAGACAGTCTTTCACCTGCAGAAAGCAGCACTTGACTGTCTGATTTCCCATTGACTTCTTAGGTGTATTTCATAATGAAATCCTTGACTCCTAGAAAGGATGTGGAAAAAATTACCCTGCTTGAAGCATAACATTGGGGAAGAAAATTTGGTTCTCAAGTGAAGAGCAAGAAGCTAATGTGTTATTCCTTCTGGGCACGTGAAGGTTTTGATGCGCACCTTTGTGTGCTGGCTCTAACAAGTTAACTGAAGCCAGGTCCCGTGGGTGCAATCCCCCAGGATGTTCTGTCTTTGTGGAAGTCATGGGTCTTCTCCTGAACAAGTCCCTTCTAGTCCCTAAAAACATATGTCTAAATATTCACCTGCCTCAGACAGTCTTGTGAGCAGGACAGGTTTTGATAGCCGTAGCAGAGCACACTGTGGTTTGCTCATTGCCAGAAGTCACTGGCTTTTGTTGCTGGCATTTGTGTAAACCAGGCGTCTGGTTCCAGGAGAGAAAATGCCAGCAGAATCTGGCCCTCCATACAGTGAGAAGTAATACTTTGAGCAGCTGCTATTTTTCCTGCATTTCTAATTTAAATAATATATTTACAGCTAGTGTGCCCTGTCCCAAATTCTGTTTGTATTTTCCTTTAAATGTTAACCTTCGCAGTGCTAGTGTCTCGCAGCAGCTGACAGTATACATGTGGTCTGACATGGACTGAATTAAACAAGCCAAACTGTAATTTCTAAAGATAAAGATCAGAGTAGGTGGTGTCATTTCATACTATCTTTGTTTCCCTAATCGCTTTTGGCTGAGTAATCTTGGGGGGGGGGGGGAGCTTTCACTTCTAGAAAGGCTCCGTGTGAAATAACATCAGGGCTGTCTGCTAAGTTCAGAGGACAAGATTCACATCCCTAGGGCCTGATGCTGCCTGCTCTGCAGGAGCCAAGAATTTCACTGACTGGGATGGACCGATCTCCTGCCTGGAAAGCTAACAGCTCATGCAGATTGGGACAGGGAAGCTACTAGCTCACCAGACAGCCACAAAGCAGCCTTTGGATTAAATGTTAAATAAATAAAACTTGGTTTTCTGTCATTTTTAGTGACAGAAAGTTGGTTTTAAAATAAAATCTACTACAGCAATGCTATCAATACCTCAGTAAGAGTAGCCAGTTGAGAGGTATTCACCTCAAACCTGCTCTAGAAGGAGTAACTTCTTCAGACAATTGAGATATAAATCAAATGACCCCAGTAAAGCCTAGGCATAAGCTGCACTGAGAAAAGTAGAATTGATGTTTTGCAAGTGCCATAAAACTAAACTGAAAACCAGCACTATTTGGATAGCCACCGGGTAACTTGCTCTTTAGCCCGACCATGTCACAGCAAATTCACTAGCATGAGGAAAGCATTTGTTTCATCGCTGAGTAGTTTCCATGGCAGTGGGAAATAGCTTCCTGAGCAATGTGCAGTTACAGACTTGACGTGGGGTCTCTGCAGTTCTCAAGCACTTTGCCATGATTAATTCCAGTGGAGCCGGGTCTTAACAGGCACTTGTGTCAGGAATTTGAACAAGAGCAGCACCTCTCCACAGGAATTACTCAGCATCTCACAAAACACAGGGCTATTATTTTTATGCCAAGAAATAGCTCCCAGACTTGAAGACTTGCAAGCTCAGATTTTTTTTTTTTTTTGTAAATTAAAAAAACCCCTTAGCTCTTCACTGCCTTAATTGCAGGTATTGGGCCCCTGTAATTCAATCCACAGTCTATCTTTGTAGCTATGGATCCTTTACAACAGGGGGGTAGAGCTTGACTTTAGAGATCCTCAAAATTTAGCATGCTGGCCAGGAAAATGCCTCACCTAAGCCTTGCAAAGTCCTGTGAGTAGGAAGGGGTGTGAATCCCAACCAGCTCTACGACTTGGGCATTTTGTTTTGCTCTCTCTCCAGTTAGAACTGTGCCAAGGAAAGGCAACCACAGTTTCCTTGGCCTCAAGACTGAATAGGGGTGACTGCTAAAGAAAGCAGTATCAGGAAGAGGATTTTCTGCCCTCCTTCCTAGTTTATATTGCAAGAATTCACTTCTCCCAGAGGAAGGCCCTGTTTCCATTCCCTCCTCTGCCTGAGATGACCGAACTCTTCCTGCTGTAGGGACTTAAAGCCACATTCCCTATTTTCCTGGGATACTTTTGTCTTACCGATCTTTGTGAAAACTGGAGCCTTCAAAGGTTCTCAAACTGAGCACCTTAAAGGAAAATAAAATAATGTAGTTTTTTTTAATAGTAGCAGATATTGGAGAAATAGATATATTTCTTACATTTATAGAGAATGTATGTGTATTTCATGCATAGTTTGCATCATGCCGATATAAAGGACAGATCTTACAGAATCA